GTCATACCCTCTAAACATTGGATATAGTTACCTAGAATGCCATAGATTTAAAACAACTAAACAGAAGAAGATTGTTAGAAAAAATAGATTGGAAGAAGAGCTGTCTTTAACTGAGGGCGGAAAGGCAATGTCATAAATGAGAGAATTTATCTTTAAAAATAAGAGTAAATGTTTATTACATACATGAATTCATTATAATAGAGGATTGTCCTAGTAAAAATATTTCTAAGATTTTTGTATGTCTGCCTCAAGTAAGAATCTCACTAAAGTAACTATTTTCCTTGCATTTTTTGCCTCTCCAAGAGTCATGTTCTACCTGTACGCTATTTTCAAAGCTCTTCTCCCTTGCTCTACTCACTGCAGAATCTAACTATGGTAAGAGAAAAGCAGGACATTTCAGCTTTTTAATTTTCCTGGGATGATCTCCAACTGAACACAATTACTTATTTTTCTGACCTTTTCTTAACTGAAACATTCCAACCACTTCCTTTGGAAACATCTAAACTTCAAACATATCATCAAAACTAAAAAATAAGTCCACGAAACATCCAGGAACTTGGAATATGAAAGACAATTTGTTTCCTATTATCTTGAAAGTGCTTCTTTGTGCTAGATGAGTTAGAGAGGTTTACTCTTTTTTCATTCCTCTTTTCTCATCGCTGGGAATGTGATTTTGATCATGTATTAAAATGAAAAAGTTCACCTGCCATTTGGAATTCATTATAATAAAATTCATAATAAAACAAAGATGGGAGTGGCCTGCCCAAATCCATCCGGGTTTTACCATTTTACCACTGAAAATCTCACATCCTGTGAAATCTTTTCCTATGATGCAAAAAAATCATGGCAACCATGATTTGCAAATCACAGAAATAATGGATCATTCATTATCACATTACGCTGAATGATGCAACTGAAGTATGTTGTAATCAAAGCATTAACAGTCATCTTTGTCCATTGGAAGTTCAGATAATGAGAATGAGAATAGTTATGATACCAACACCAGAATGCTCCATCGTTACCAGTAAAGAAGGGTATAGTTATTATATATGGAAATATGTATAATATATATTATTACATATATTAGTATATAATGATATGTTATTATAGATGGGTAGAAAGACACATGCATTAGGGAATTAGATAACCAAAACAGACCATACCGCACAATATGCAGAAAAGAATTTGGGGTTGGACATTGTTATGGATTGAATTATATCCCGCCCCCAAATTGATTTGTTGAGGTTCTAAGTCTTACTACCTCTGACTGTGACTTTATTTGGAAATAGAGTAAATACAGATGTAATTAGTAGTGAAAATGAGGTCATAGTTGAGTAGGATGGGTCCTTAATCCAATATGACTGGAATCCTTATAAAAAGGGGAAATTTGGACACAGATATGTGCACAGGGAATATGTCACGTGAAGATTGGAGTTGGGCTGCCAGAAGCCAAGGAACTGCAAGAAGCTAGGAGAGAGGTCTGGAGCAGATCCTTCCCTAGAACCTTCAGAAGGAGCATGGGCCTGCCAAAACCTTGATCTCGGACTTCTAGCCTCCAGAACTGTAAGACAGTAACTTTCTGTTGTTTAAGCCACCCAGCCTGTGGTACTTTGTTATGGCAGCTCTAGCAAACTAATATGGGCCTGGTAGAGATGGGGATGTAAAAGACTGCAGAGACTGAGTCTCACAAGTCTGGAATGAGACAGGCAGGTGCATCTAAATCCATCTGTACTTTTTCATCTTCCAAAAAGACATTGTCGCTCAGTTGAAAATAGTAGGCACTGAATTAACATAGACCTATCACATGGATATACACATTTTATTTTTTCCCTTGATCATTCTATGAAACTGACGAAAGTTACATTTCCTGATTCAGAGGTTGCAACTAAAACATCCTGTTGGTGAAAAAAGGGTAAATTTTGATAACAGATGTGTTGGCTTCTTACACATGGAGAGCTGATTCTGTTGGATCTTACCAACAATCATACTTTTTCTTCACTCTATCAAGTGTTGCATGGAATCACAGCAACACAAAGATGTTTCCCTAGCTCTTAGGTACTTTGCTTTGAAAAATGGAGTTTCAAGTTGAATTTTTGATTCCTGTAAAGATTATAAAGAAACCACATAAAACAAAAATTGTTGATGTATTGTTCATATATGAATTAGATTTTGCTCAGTCTGTCTGCATATTTGGCAGACAGTGCAAATGTAAACTTGGCAAGTTCCATTCAGTCTATAAACTTCTTACCAAAGAAAATGAAAAGATACTACCTGGGAAACGTCTTCCACACCTTGCATAGTACAGTGCTAAAAAGGGATGTGATTTGCTTACCTCTGATGTTGAGGCTTTCGTAATGAAAGTTCTTTCTCACCTTTAGCTTCCTCAAAACCTGCAAGACCAGTGAGAGTTTTGACTTTATGGAAATGGAAGGAGATGACCTCCATAGACGTGTGCCTACAACATAGCTACGATTGTTGCTAGCAAAGGATGGCCAGCTGCAAAATCACATGTTTAGAGTGTGAGGCAAGGAGAGTGTCCTTCTGTAATTTGGAAATAATTGAGGATGAGAAGGCAAAAAAGTTATTACATTAAATAAATGGGTATTTATGTACTGTTTCTTTAGTGTCTGGTGAGTGCTAAGGAACTTGGTAAAGCAGCCAGAAAAGGATGAACAATCCGAACCTTAGTTGCTTAATGTGGTATACAGGTTGTGACGAACACTCATACAATGGAATAATGACTCATTTTGGGGAAATAAGACTGCTTCGGAACTCAGAAATGTTACCAGAAAAGAGTAGCTACATTGAACAGGATTTTCTTCACTAGAACTGTTAACTCCATCCAGTATGCTTTGGAGTGTTGAAAAAGGATGGGTATTTTACAAATGGGTAGTCTGTATGATGAATTTATACATGCAAAGGACCTTGGAGACAAATAGCTGGTCTAGCAGAACAAGCCTGTAGGTTCAAAGTGGGTGGACCTTTTCAAGAGAGCTGGGAACTTAGTTCTTGTAACTCTAAAAAGCCTACTGTTGCTAGTAAGTAAAATCTTAAGTATTTTAAGCTCACACCTTTCTTAAAATATTTAGGTTGAGGTCATCCTGTTGGACTGATACCAGTAATATGGACTTCTAAGAGCAGAGCTTTAAGTCAGTGAATTTTATGTTGGACTGTAGTTCATTCCTGGTAGAAAAAAAAAAAAGGCAAAAACATAATATATACCTCACCTAAAGGCTACAGGCAGTTCAGAGAAGTAGTATTGGAAGAGTAAAAATATGCTACTGTATCATGGATAAGAAGATGTTACTATTTTTTATTAAATATGGATAACAACTGTTTAGTCCCATTGTATTTACATTCCCCTTTTACAAAGTCTCAGATGTATGTTTCTTAAAATATACAATAATATAGCCTACTAAATTTAAATATCCAGAAAAATAGTTAAATAAAAGGGCAGAAAAGGACATAAAAATATTGGGGCACCTGGGTGGCTCAGTTGGTTAAGCATCGGACTCTTGATCTCGGCTCAGGTCATGATCTCAGGTTGTTGAGATTGTGATTCGCTTGGCTCTGCATTGGGTGTGGAGCCTGCTTAAGATTCTGTCTCTCCCTCTGCTCCTCCCCTTCCAACTTTCCCTTTGCCCCCTTTCTAAATAAATAAATAAATAAATAAGTAAGTTTTCACACATTTTATTTGTTAAATTGTCCTATTCTTAATTACCACTAATTACCACTATTAACTAATCTTACTGTTTGTTTAAATACAAGCTCTTATTGTAACAAAAGTAAATAGTACAGAACAATATATAATTTCAGATAAACATCGATTCTTCATAGTTCTCTGTTAAAGTAATAACACATGTGAGTAATTATTTCTCATATGTTGTCACTTTTTTTTGGAGTGATGTGGCTGTGTCTTGGCTGACTTTAAAGTTGATCATCCCCTGTGCACAATACTCACCTTACCCATTGTCTTTGCCCTTTGTCCCTCTTCCTTCCGTTCCTCCTCATCACACATTTCAGTTTCACTAAGGCCAGTGAGTTTGAGATTATAAAAAGTTCTAGATTAGTCTTGGAAAAGCTAATTTGTGTAACCAGCTCTGAATTTTTAATCCCTAAAATAATTTCCATGGAGAAGAACTGAAAATCTTCAAATAAAAAGTTCATTTTTTTTTATTGCTTTATATTGTTCCCATTTGGAAGGCAGCATGGTATAGCTTGTAGGAATAGGGTTTCTGAAGTTCCATGTATAATGTTTTGGGGGCAGGTAGGACTATTTCTTTTTAAATTACACAATATTTTTGGAATGTATACTTTTGTTCTTCTTTCTAATGTATACTTCTTTGTTCTTCAGAGTTTATTAACTCTGCTCTACTTTTCCTATTATTAAATTCATACAATGTACTAGGCATTATGTTTCTAAATTCAGAGAGGTCCTGAGAGTGTGTGTTTTAGCTGTAGGATCTTCTGATTGACAAATACATTTTTCAGGTCAAATGTGATACATAAGTTTTAGCATATGTTGTTACGTTTGGCAAATACGCATCTGCTCACAGGCTTACATATTGTTATTTAAGATGTTAAGTACACTTTTGAGATTTTTATTAATGGACATAAAAATGAGTTTCTATTAGGTATTTAATTGCTATAAAATTCCTCAACTTCTGAAATTCACACTACTTTGATAATTATTTCTACAGTAATTTGAGAATGCTGTTACCAATGGCTGTTTGCCAAATTCATTAGTTCAACATGGGACAACTGCTTAAAATCTGTTTTTATAGGTGAACATAAGTGTACAATATGCTGTCTTTTAAAAATATTGTAAAATTCTAGTGACATTTCTAAATTCTCATAAAGAAGAAAATCAGCTAGGAGACTTGGTCTGTTTTGATATCAATTGTTATTTTATGCTGAGAAGTTATTGAATGTTCCTTTAATATTTGGAAATGTTGATAAGCATGTCCTCCCTGACATTGTGTTTTATGTTTATCATCCAGGGGGATGGAGTCCTGGCATACATTGGGAATTTTCGCCTGCTTGCAGAACTTTCCAGCCCTTTTGTGAATCAGCGGTAGGTGACTAATCTCATTATTTTAAACTTGTGTTGTTTCCTTTTAGTTTGGGGAAATTTTTCCCAAGGTCCTAAATCTACTAAATAAAAATGAGAATATGTGGTATGAATTATTATCCGTGCAAATGAGGAAACCAAGCCTTGGAAAGGTGAGAGAAACTTATCCAGGATCCCCTAGGTAGAAAGTGGTGGTCCTAGCTTTTGAACAGAGCTCTCTTTGAAGGATGGCGATGCTTTATTATACTTGGGTTCATCTTGGGTTCAGTTCACATTCTTTTTCTTTTTTTTTAAAGATTTTTTATTTATTTATTTGACAGATTGAGAGAGAGAGCGAGAGAAGAAGCAGGTGGAGGGGCAGAGGGAGAGGGAGAAGCAGGCTCCATGCTGAGCAGGGAGCCCGATGCGGGGCTCGATCCCAGGACCCTGGGATCATGACCTGAGCCGAAGGCAGACGCTTAACGACTGAGCCACCCAGGCGCCCCTCCAGTTCACATTCTTGACACCAGCTTATTCCTCTTCCCAAAATCTGATAGTGACATTACCTTCATCCCTCATTTAAAAAAAAATTGTCTTCTAATTTTAGATTTACAGAAAAGTTGCCAAGATAGCATAGGAACGCCCATATCCTCCTCCACCTGGTTTTCCCTATTGCTGATAACATGGACCATTTGTTGAAACTTAAGAAACCAGCATTTATACATCACTGTTAAGTGAACTCCAGGCTTTGTGGAATTGCATCAGTTTTTCCCTTAGTGTTTTCTTTTTGTTCTAGGACTCAGTCCAGATTGCGACACTGCTTTAGTTTCGTGTCTTCCCAGTCTCCTGTGGTCTGTAACAGTTTCTGAGTCTTTCCCTGTTTTTCCTGACTTTGACAGTGTTAAGAAGTACTGTCCAGTTATTCTGTAAACTGTCCCCCAGTCTGGATTTGTCTGTTTTTCTTAAGACTGGGTGGAGGTGATGGGGTTTTGGAAGGAATCCCATGGAGGCAAAGTGGCCCTTCTCATCACATCATGTTAGGAGGTACATGATGTCCACATCACTGGGGATGTGAACTTGGCATCACACGGTTAAGGTGGTGTTTGCCAGGTTTCTCCACTGTGAAGTTTTTTCTTTTCCTTACTCTATTCTTTAAAAGCAAGATACGAAGGATAGCCCACCCTCAAGGGGGTGAGGGAGAAAGGAAATTAAGCTCCACCTCATGGAGGGAGGTAGATGCTCATATTTGCCAGTGGATTTACTATGGTGCTGTATGACCCTTAGACCTTGTCATTTAATGAGGTCTGCTGATATCTTTTGGATATCTTTCCTGTGTAAAGTTAGCTGTTCCTTTCACTCCATATCCATGGTCCTAGGTGAGGGCCTTCAGGATCTCCACAGTTCAGTCCACTGCCATAGCCTTCTGACTGACTTCCCTCCTTCCAGATTCACCCTCTCTTCAGTCCCTTCTTCACAGTGCTGCCAAAGAAATCCTCCCTGTGATCCACTTTCTGGACCTTATTTATTTTCTTCCAGAAACTGCATCCTGTTTAGACTCTTCTCTAACTTTGAGGTTCACTATAATGTGCTCCATATGTTCCCAGCCTTACTTCTTACTGTTCATTAGAGTCACTTTTGAACCCTTACTGTCTCATGCACCTGTGAGTGGTTCTTGAGTTTCTTCCCTTATTCACATCCTTAATTTCCCTTCCATCTTTGAAAAATTTGCCTATCTTTAAAATCTTCGGTCAAAGTCCCAAAGCCAGGGGAGGCTCCCATGATTGCATGTAGCCCTTTTGTGACTTAGTACAGAGATAACCCAGAGAATTGGGACTGTCAAATCAGACTTGCGTGGGTTAGAGAGTGTACCCTATATTAAGCCAAGGATCCAGGTAATCACGAGGCACTGGCAAAGCAGGGAGATTTTCAGGACCATCAGAATGGCTCCCTGGGTCCTTTTTGCATTGGGCAGACTCTGGAATAAGGTTATCTATGAGGGCTAAAGCAGTATGAGTAGTTCATATTGCAGATATAGAAGGAGCTCTCTTGATTATGGAACGTCTCCATTTGATACTCAGATAGTTACATAACTTATGTAACATTCCCCACGGGGTCAGACCCCATAAATCCATACATTCTAGGTTTGTTTGCCATAAGCAATCCTAGACTAGGTATATCCTAAAAGCATTACATGGATGAGACTCTCCTGCAACAAATACCATTAGTCTGTTTATCAGGACATCTGTCATTAGTATGTTCACCAAGCAATTAGCCTGATCTTTAAAAAAAAAAAAGTATTATTTATTTGAGAGAAAGAGAGTGAAAGAGAGAGAGAGCACGAAGTGGGCAGAGGGTCAGAGGGAGAAGCAGATTCCCTGCTGAGCAAGGAGCCCGCCGCGGGGCTCAATCCCAGGACCCCGGGATCATGACCTGAGCCGAAGGCAGACACTTAACCGACTGAGCCACCCAGGTGCCCCTAACCTGATTTTTTTTTTTTTTTTTGCCAAAGGTGGTGGGGGCAGGGGAAGAGTGGTCCTTCCACCCCCAAAACAGGAGAGAATAGATTACAGATCTGCTGCTGAAGCTTTTCTTTCCCAAGTTTTGCTTATTCACTCTTATTTTGTTTGCCCATATTTCAGGTGGTGTAATCTTATTTCTTCAAGAAGATAATCGGTTTTTGGGCTTGACCATTTAAATTTTTAAAATAATAATTCTGCAATCCTCAAAGACTGATAATGTGAAAGTATAGAGCAAAGAGCATGTACTTTGAAGTCAAACGACCTGCATTCAAATCCAAGCTCTCCCACTTAGCCTTGTATATGAGTGGAAGATTATTTAATGTCTCTGAGCCTGGTTTCGTAGCTATAAAACAGGGATGATGATGATAATGATGCTTCACCGTTTGTTGTGAATATTCAATGAGATTACGTATATAAAGCACCTGGCATGGTGCTTGCCATTTGGTATATGTTCAGGAAGTGCTAAATGTCGTACATATTCAACACACAAAAACTCGGTGAACACTGGAAGCGCATAGTTTATACTTGATTTCTCTACTTTATTGTATCTTTTTTTGCTCTTTAACTCCCTAAAATTAGGCTTCCTTTTCTGTTGCTGGAACTGTTCCATTAGAATCACCAGTGACTTCCAGATGCAAAATCCAGCAAACTCCCTTTGGTGCCTATCGCATTGTGTCTCTCTGTGGACTCGATGCTGTTGGTCACTTCCTTGTATGGCCCAGCCCCCTTTGCCTTCATTTCACTGCACTCATCCAGTCCTTGTATGTCTCTGACCATACTTTCTCAGCCTCCTTGGTAAGACATGGTTCCATAAATGCTGGTGTTCCCTGAGGCTCTCTTCTGGGCCCACTGATCTCCATGCTTCTCCCTGGGGTGAGTTCTCCTTTCAAGGTCAGCTACTACCTACTTGCTCATTTTTGTGTAATGGACTATGCATGAATTTTAAAACCAGATAAACTCAAGTTGTAATTCAGCCTTGCCACTTAACTTGCCCTGACCTGAGCTGTTATTTAACATCCCTGTACTACAGTTGCTTTGTCTTTAAAAAGAGCATATTTAATACTACCTACTTCTTTGTATGATAGTCAAGTGTTTTCTCCTCCCAGGTGGCACAACAAATTCAACATGTCTAAAATAGAATGCAGCATATTTCCCTCTGTAGTCTTTTGTATTCTCTTGTTCAGCATGTGGCCCAGCCATTCTCTCGGTCACTCCTGCTCCACATGTGGGAATCGTCTTTGACTGTTCCTCCCTCACCTACATTTGGTCCATCATTAGGTCCTACCAGATAACCTCCTAAATATTTCTTGCCTTGGCCACTGACTCTCCACCTCTACTATCAGTGCCCATCATCTCTTGTCTAGGCTCCTGTACCAGCTTCTAACCCTGTCCTGCCCAATAGGGTAACCACAAGCCACATGTAATTATTTACATTTAAATTAGATTAAATTAAATTAAAAATTCAGTTCCTCAGTCTAACTTGTAACATTTCAAGTGCTGGATAGCCCCATGTGGCTGGAGTCTACTGAATTGGGTAGCACATCTATAGAACATTTTCATTATTGCAGAAAGTTTTTTTGGACAGTGCTGTTCTAGACTGAGGGTTGGCAAACTAAGGCTCAAGGGCCAAACCCACTGCTGTTTTTTGTAAATAAAGTTTTATTGGGGCACAGCTATGCACCTTTGTTCACATGACCGCTGTTACACTACAACAGCGGAGTCCATTTGTTGGGACAGAGACTGTACGGTTTCCAAAGCCTATTACCTTATGTCCACTCTCTGGCTCTTTGTGGAAGAAGTTTGCTGATTCCTGCTCTAGATAGACTGTCTACCTGTCTCCAATCCTGTTCCCCTTTTATTTCGCTTCTGTATTATTCTCTTCTATGATGATCTCTCTAAAACACAACAATGAACATGCAGCCCCCCTGGTTGAATCCCCTCAGTGACTCTGGCTGCTTACAGGATAAAACATGGACTCTTTAATGGGATACAGAACTTTTTCTGTTACATCTGTTATTCTTTCTGCCACATTTTCCCCCCTCAAAAATCTCCTCTCATTCCAGCTTGTCCATGTGCTGGAAAGGTCTCCTGGCTCCTTACTCTTCCTTCAGGACTCAGCCTGAGGATTATTTCCATCACTAAACCCCACCTCTCTCAGGTCCGGTTGGGTGTCCCTCACCTGTGCTTCCATAATAGTGACGTAGAGTTACACCATTATGATTAGTGTATTTTATGATAATATTCTCTCTCTCTCTCATTTTCTGTTTCTTACTCATCTCTGTGTTTCATTAGATCAGGGGCAAAATTTTGTTAAACTTTGCATGGTCCAGCACTCACTGTCTGGCACATAGTACCCATTTAATTACTTTTTGAAAAAATGACCCCCAAGAGGTGATCAGTTAAGCTCTAGCAATGTCCATCTCTTAAATATGATTCAAAATATGAGATTTTGAGGCAGGAGAAAATTAGGTCTGATGCTTAAAGGAACTTCAGTTTGTTTTTGTT